TCCTGTTCATGGGATGGAAGTTACCCTCAATGTGGTTGTGCAAACTCTCCTCGATATTGGATCTAAAAGTTTCACTCATTTGATTACTGTATTGGAGAGATATGGCCAAGTCATTGCAAAACTATGTGCTGACCAGGATAAGCAGGTCATGCTGATAAATGAGATTGATTCTTACTGGAGGAATAATTCTCAAATGACTGCTATTGCAATAGATAGGATGATGGGCTACCGAATTTTGTCTAATCTGGCCATTGTCAGATGGGTCTTTTTACCAGCAAACATTGAGCAGTTTCACATATCAGATCGTCCATGGGAGGTATGCTTACAGCACTTTTATTGCATTAAAGTTAAACTTGTCTTTTCTGCTGTTATAACTATTTGCGTTACGAATGCTTGGTCGAGTTTTGGTGTTTTTCCTTGCTTGGCATCAACCTTGAAAACAACATGAACAGAACACTTCAAAGTGGTACAAATCTATACAACTGCTTCAAACGTGAGATAGTAAAATTAATTTGGCATCTACCTTGTTCACACAAATGGAAACTGAATTATTATAAGCTTTAAATTTGGTCTAATTCAAAATCATCATGCGAAGATAGGCAATTCAAGATAATGCCACTCTAGTGGAAAATATGGATGATTGTTAAAACAGGAGACTTATCAAAATGAAAAAAAGAAAGAAAAAGAAAATAGCGCCTTTGTTGGTTTTCTCTGGTTAGCCTGCATTGTTATATTCTTGATTGTTTTATGTTAATTTACTTTGTGTGAGATCTTCCAAATTTTAGAGCTTTCCAGATTCTTGCTTGCATGATGTTGGTATGGTTGTTATTACAACTAATACAATGCAATTGTTTTCTCTTAATGTGGCCTTCATGAATTGTGCAATGATTTGGTGTACCAGATTGAAATCATCTTTGATATACTTTCAAACTTCACCTTTATTACCATTTTTATTGTATACTTGGCCTTCGTTTCCATAACAGAAATTTACCCTGCTAAGGGTATGTTTAAACAATATTGAACAAAGTATACATTTACTAGTTGTGGCCATCTTGTCCAGTCCTTGTGTAAATTTTGTGTTTATTACAATTCAGTTTGTTTATTTTAAAACAAAATACCATCTATTTGTACTATCATTTGTACCATCTCTCTAATATAGGTAGGGGCAACCAACATATGTGGGTCCCATTTCTATTACAGAGATGGTACAGTTAGATGGTAAAAATAGCATTATATGTAGCATTCTTTTACCCAATTTATGAAATGTTCTTTGCCACTTGATGCAACACAATTCCCCATGATCAATGGTTGACAGAGTGGCAACATGACATGCCAGATATTTGGTAAGAGAACATTTTGTCACATAGATTTTCGTCTAAGGTTTTCAAATGGGGTTTTGTTTCTCAGTTCGGTCAAGATGCAATGGTTGAGATACCAATTATTTCACTGAATCGTCTACAGAATAAAATATAGACATTTCAGATCTTTGAAATACACACACACACACACACACACACACACATATATATATGTGTGTGTGTGTTCTGTATTGATCATTTGCTTCTTCTCTGCCCGGTAGCTTTTATTCTATGGTTGAAGTTGTTTAGGGAGTGTGGTATCAGCTGCTTTTTACCCAGGGATTGTTATTCTTTTATGGTAGAGAAGCTAAGTTACCAGGAAAGGGGAAGAAAGCCAAGGTCTTATGGGGTTGTATAGTTTCTGCTATCTTCTGGGCCATTTGGGTGGAAAGAAACAGGCTGATTTTTTAGGACTTCGCAGTCAGTAGAAGGGAGGATCTTGGGATAAAACTTGGTTATTGTCATCTCTATGGGCATCATTTACTTCAGAATTTAGTGATTTTTCTTTTTCAGAAGTCTGCGTAATTGGAATTCTGCTATTAGTTAGTTTTGTGGTATTGCCGTAGTTTGTAAGTGTCAGGGTGATGTTGCTATTTACCCTGTTTTTGTTTGTGCTTTTGCGGACTTCTTGTCCGCTCTTGTTTTTTTATTGTTTCTTTGCAATAGAAATTTGTTTTTCCTCAAGAAAAGTTTGTTGTGTATATTTTAACTGGGTATGTATACTATGTAATCACTTCAATGTTGTACTGATAACATGGCTTGTTGTCAGTTGAGCAATCTTCATATGCTCTGCTCCATTCCCATCTTCCCTTATCATAAGAATTTGAAATTAATTTTTATTTTATTTGTTTATTAATTAATTTATTCTTCTTGACCTGGAGCTGTTACCATATGGACTATCCTTTCTGTACTTAAATATAATCTGTAAATGTGTTTTTCTTGATTGCTTATACATTTTTGTCCATATCATCCAAACAGATACTAAGAAATGCAGTTAGCAAGACATATAACCGTGTATGTGATCTAAGGAAGGAGATTTCTTCTTTCAAAAAGAGTGTTGTATCAGCTGAAGAAGCTGCAGCAACGGTGAAAGCAGAGTTAGTAGCTTCTGAATCAAAGCTTTCACTCATGGATGGCGAACCTGTTACTGGGGAAAATCCTGCGTGGCTGAAGCGTTTGAAATCACGTGCTGAAAAGGCTAAGGAGGAGGTGGTGTCTGTACGTGAATCTTTAGAGGCTAAGGAGGCTCTTCTATCCCGATCCCTTGATGAATTTGAGGTACAGAATAGTGGGGGAAAAGAAGCACCAACATATTTCCCCCTTTACATCTGTTGAATCATTTTCCCACAATAGATGTAAAATTATGTATATATTTCCGTCTTGTAGGTGCATGTCATAATTACTGAACTTTTAATTAATCAGGCCGTTGGCACTCTTCATCTTTTCCTTGTATTAACCATGGCGTCCACATGCAGGCATTATTCTTCTCCATGTACAAAAGCTTCCTTAATTTGTTAACGGAACGGCTGCCAGAAGCATCCAAATGTGTCACATTGCAGGGATTAAAGGGGATTCATGCAGATTCTATGGCAATTGACCTTGAAGAATCATCCGCAATGGATGTAGACAATGAGAATGGAATACCTAAGAAAAGGTATTTCTTTCCCTCACTAAAATACAAAATCCTATATTCATGTAAATGAAAAACATGTTGACTACAAGGTTAGAGCAGATGAAGGATGTTTATGGAGGGGAGAGATTGGGATACGGATTACTTTATTGTTGTCCTTCGTAATTGACTAGCTTTATTTTTGTGTAGTCTCCTTTGTTTTCCTAAATATCTTGTTTTTGTTATCATAAATTAATAAATGGTTTCGACATTGTGTGACATGCTATTCAAGTGTATTTAACTTGTCTTCTTAACTTTTGCAGTGAACTGAGTGGTGGGAGGACAAGTAATGTTTATAATGTAGGTGAAAAAGAGCAATGGTGTCTTTCAACTTTAGGCTATCTCAAGGCGTTCTCGAGGCAATATGCTTCCGAGGTAAATACAGTGTCGCTTCTCTTGTTCTTTTTGCGACTTCCCTCTTTTGTTTGTTTTCCTTTTGACCCTCCCCCTCCCCGTTTCTGGTATGATTTTCGTTTTCTTTGGATTTTTGGGTGAAGTTTTACAGACATGCTTAATATTCTTTACTACTGAATCTCTGACCTTGTATATTATGTACCTGGCAGATTTGGCCTCACATGGAGAAGTTGGATGCTGAGGTTCTAACCGAAGATGTGCATCCTCTTATTCGGAAATCAGTTTATTGTGGTCTTCGTCGAGAAACTGATGGGTTGTGAAACTTCAAACTTATCACCCCCCGTTCCCCCTTTTCTTTTTTTCCAAGCAAACAGCAACACATGTACGGTGATGAGGTAACCTTGTAAGATTTGAAGGAGATGAGGCTAGCTACGGCATGTATATTGAGAGTTAGGCGATTTGTATGTCTAGCTGCAGATGTGTACTAGGTGATATGTAACCAAAACAACTAATTAGAGGCTAGTATTGTGAAAATTCTTATGGATGGTGGCCCTTTGTTACAATTCTGCTGCGTCTCCCATTGTTTTGGGGTTTTGCATATAAGAAATGGACTCGTTGCCTCCTATAACTCGCGGCTAGGCATGTGGATGTGTTGGTGGTCTTCGTTGCCAACGAATCGGAACGGCACCATTTTATTGGACTTCTTGTACCACGTTCAAGTGTTGGTGCTTACAATCTTAGTGTTGTGTTGTAGTGTAATGTGCCATTCCGACGATGTGAAAAGCGTCCGTATTGACGAAAATCATCTGACGCGACTCTTTATTCCTTTGTGAATATTAGTTGCTAGCCTACACCAAGGATTATGTAAAGGGTAATGTTAGGGAGGCTAAATTTGCAAACTAAATGATGTACCACCAATAAGAATCAAGCACTTTAAGTAATAATCCAGTTCAGGGTTGATTGAAACTTTCCCAAAACACCACTTGCTACCGAAACGTGAGCAACTTTTTTCTAAATGTTTGTTAAAAATATAGGGCATTGCTATTTGCTAGTGTAGTATCTCTAAACTTTAATATTAGAAAGGCAGAAACACACTTTGGTGTCTTAAGATCATCTCCAACCCTTGGGCTAAAAGCCAAATTTTTTACCCCGGAAAATTTGGCTTTTAGCCCAGAAACATTTTTTCTGCTCCAATCCTTCTGGCCTAAAATTTTAGCCCGGAATTATTAAAGAATGAACTTAGGCTAATTTTTTTCTTAAATCAATTTAAAAAAAAATAAATATGTAGATTATTGTAAATTAATTTTATGAACATTTTAATCTAAAAAAATTTAAATTCCGATAAATATTGAAAAATCATTAAATTTTTCACAAAGCAAGCTACTTTCACCAACCGTTCATCTTTCACCAACCGTTCAACTCCAAACTTTCAACTTTCACCAACCATTCAACACCAAACTTTCAACTTTCACCAACCGTTCATCAATCATCCTCTATATAAACACAGGTCCAATATTAGTTGATCACACAATCTTTCAACCTTCAATCATCCTCTATATTCATCAATCTTTCAACTTTCAAAGAGTTTTTGTTTCCTAAAAATTCTCAATATCTCATCAATGGGTGATAGAAGCAGGCGTAGCAGGGCAATGGAGATGGCACAATACCAAGCAAGGCTTGACATTGAGGATTTAGAACTGATCAACGCCGAAGCTGAACTTGTAAACTCGTTTATGCAATATGAGCACCATGGCGAATCTAGCCATCGTGGTTTTGTCACGGGGCGTTCATTCATGCAGCGTGATAGAGAAGAGTGTCATGACCAAATGATGAAAGATTATTTCATTGAGCGGCCGAGATTTCCTGCTCATGATTTTCGGAGGCGGTTTCGGATGAGGAGAGAGCTTTTTGAAGGCATATTGAACGCAGTTGTCAATCATGACCACTACTTTGCAAGGAAGATAGATGCCGTAGGCCGACAAAGTCTATCGCCTCATCAAAAGCTCACATCTGCATTTCAAATGCTAGCTAATGGGTGCTCTGCTGACTCAACTGACGAATATTGTCGACTTGCGGAGAGTACTGCTATTGAGAACCTGAAGCGCTTCTGTCAAGCAATTCAAGCCATCTATGGAGCCACATACCTCCGCAAGCCAACTCGTGAAGACTTGAAAAGGCTTCTACGCAAGGCAGACAAAAGAGGCTTCCCTGGCATGATAGGAAGTCTCGATTGTATGCATTGGGAGTGGAAGAATTGTCCTACTGGTTGGGCTGGCCAATTTAAGGGTTGTCATAACAAGCCAACCATCGTGCTGGAGGCTGTGGCATCTTACGACACATGGATTTGGCATGCATTCTTCGGCTTTCCCGGATTAAACAACGATATCAACGTTCTTTGGTCTTCTCCTCTGTTCGATGAGGTTGTGAATGGATGGGCACCAGAATTTCGATACAAGGTAAATGGTAATATGTGTGAGCTAGGTTACTACCTAACTGATGGTATTTATCCTAGTTGGTCTACCTTTGTCAAAAGTTTTTCTCATCCCGATAGTGCAAAGAAGAAATTATTTTCGCAGAGGCAAGAGTCTTACAGGAAGGATGTGGAGAGAGCATTCGGGATCTTACAAGCTCAATGGGCCATTGTTAGAGGGCCTGCACGATTTTGGCAACCCGAAATTCATACACTACATAAACTTAACAATCATATCCACCATCTTCACTTGGTGATGGACTTCGTTGAAATATTGGGATATAAGGTTCAGAGGATTCATCATCTTGAAACATACTCCTTGAGGCAGACTTTCGCATAATTTCCTTTTGCTTATTACGTAAGAATTTCTTCCTCTCTGGAGTGTATTTGTTGAGGTCCTTCATCATGAATTCAATTTCAAACCTATTTTCCTCCCTATCCGAGATTTCCTTCATTTGCAAACGCAATCGGGCCGCTTCTTCTTGGCGAGCGCTATGAGTTTCGTGCAATTTTGCAATTCCGGTAGCAAAGTCTCCACTCGTCAAATCTTGGGACTTCCCTTTTCTCTTTGCTTCCTTTTGCTTATCTCTTCCCGGGGGCCTTGCTAAAGAAGGAGATGGGGTCATTTCATCGACACCTTCATCGCCGCCTTCATTTCTCGGTGCGGCTTCACGTTGAAATAATCTTCCCCATTGTTGGTCTGCATCGGTTGCCCACCTTGGACAATCCTTGAGGACGTCCCAAGCATGTTGCAACTTAAAAACTTGATTTTTTGGTGTTACTCTTGTCTTGTAAATTTCCATTGCTTTGTCACCCTATGCAAAAAATACATAAAAATAATTAGTTGCAAAATAATATTATGTACATCACAAATAAAATATCAAGAAAAAAACTCACAATTTCTATGGCGCTCCTTCCACTAGGCATGCCAACCATGGCTCTCTCTAAGCTTCCCTTCCATAAAGTGCATGCTTTGTTGATAGTCTTCCCGATCATAAACACCACCACCGTCCCGCCCGCTGCCGTTGCAGTTTTCTTGAAACTTCGCAATGATTTTATCCCACAAAACCTTTTTATTTTGATTTGTGCCAACTGCACCATCTTCACTAACAGAAACCCATGCCAAGCATAAAGAAATATCTTCTTCAAAGGTCCAATTACGACCTCTAACATGCTCTCTTGCCATGTAGACTAATTTGGAAATGGAAAGAAATGATAGAAAGATAAATTGGAAGAATTGTAGGAGAAAATTGAATTTTGTGTGGATGTTTGAACAAATACATAGGTATTTATAGAGTTTTTGGGTAAATTTTGTGTTAAATAAATTTATTTAATTATTTTAGCCGTTGGATTTAAATTTGGGCCGTTAGATCTTTTTTTTACTGTTAGATTTTAGTATATTCAATCTCAACCGTTGGATTCAATGTATTTTAAAATAACATATTTTTTAAAAATAAAATTTGAATCTGGACCGTTGGATCAACCAACGGTCCTTAAATTCTGCCTGTCAGATTTTGAAAAGAGCCGTTGGGCTCTGGTGAGTGGCCGACAAGGCCTGACGTTGGGCCCCCTTCCTGTCGGGCTCCGGTTGCAACTTGCGCGCTTGGGGCGCGTGCACGAGTCAGCGGGCCGAGAGTGGCCCAAAACTGGGCGAGTCCACGCGGTTGGGGGGGGGGGGGAATTTGGCCCAACTTTAGCATTCCCCTTTTAGCCCAATATTTTAGCTTGGGTTGGGGGATGTTTGGGGGGAATTTTGGGCTAAAAATTTGGCTTTTAGCCCAGGTTTGGAATTGGTCTAAGGCATCACACAAAAATAATTGGACTGAAAAGTCCCTAAAACAAAAAAATCAAAAACTGACCGAATTGATAGATGAAAAAGTGCAAGGGTTTATTTATTTTTTATTTTTTTGAACAAATGATATTATCTACATTGAAGGGAAGGGATGAGCTTAGCCTCACAATGGGTTATCAATAATGTGGTTTAAATTCGCCTTTCACAAGGGTTGTAAAGAAAAAAATTTTAAGTTTGTTTTATTAGTAGAAAAAAAAGAAAAAAAAAAGAAAAAAAAATTTAAAAAGGGGAAAGATTAACATCCACTCTTCCATTTAAGACGTGTTGTTTAAGGAGATATTAACCCCACTCCTCCATTTTAGGAGAGAGATTAATATCCCATAAAATGTATAAAAATAAGAAAATACAATAAAAAAAGTAAAAATTCGTTTTATTGGAAAAAATGAAAACAAAAGGACGAGATGAATCATGAACCCCTCAAATGAAAAAAAAATAAAATAAAATTCAAACGTGGAAAATGGAAAAACTGCACCCACGTTCAGCAAAAAGCCGTTTCTATCAAACTGAATTGCCAATATATCCTTCCACAAATCTCATTTCAATCCCGAAATTAGAAAAGAGAAACATGCACAAAGTCTCCATCTTACGAAATTCTCAATTTCTTGTCAACGAGGTTTGCTACATATTATCTTATTACACGAATAGATTTTTTTTTAAATAGCAAATTCTCTCTCTAATTTTATGCCTCCACATCTCTTGATAATTTCTGTCCGTTGATCTTCTTCAATTCATCCGATCCGACGGCCAAAAATTAAAAAGGTGTGTGAGAAGTAAAATAGGGTGTGTGGATATCCCACCCCTAATCACTACTCACTTTAATTGACCGAGATTTCAGAGTAGAAGTTAAGAACAAGTAACTAAAAAAATATACACAAAAGAAAACAAGTGAAACAATCTTGCATAAATAAATGCAATAAAAATTGTTTGGAAAATGCCCACCATCCATACGAAATTAAGAATAAACCCATCAGCCACTTAGTACTACGATCTAGTAGTATTCTTCTTCAATTGTAAGGGAGAGGTCATATGTTTGATTCTAACCAAAGGAAAATTTTAACCATATTATTGCTAATCCATTATGAGGCTAAGCTCACCCCTTCTCCTTAGTGTAGATAATATCGTTTGTTCAAAAAAAAATAAAAATAAATAAATAAACCCATCAGTCAAGTTAGGCAAACTAGATGTTTGGTTAGCAAATATTAATTCCAGATTTGCAGGTCTGCATATAAATTGACAATATTCTACTGCTTTTCTAAGAATTAAACATTAACGTTATTTTCTATATAAAATATTTTTAGGGGCGCACAGTGAAATTGGTACCAAACAGAATATCCTGCAAATAAAAATTTAACCTTGCACAGTAGACTAGTTAAATGAACTAGTCAACTAGTTACAAGTTAGTCAGTGATATAAATAGCAGTTGCAATAACAAATCCTAACTGATCAATACATCTAACTAATCAAAGTTTGCCTAGATTAATTTCACAACAATAATTCCTAAACTTGAACACATTTACACATCAGTTCATTATGCAAATAGTAATGACAAAGCAATTATGAAACAAAGTATGCTAGATTGACTAGTCAAGCTCATCAGTCAACTAAGTATAGATTCTTCAGTTAATTAAAAGCAAATCTACGAATCAAACTTAGTTCACTACAAATTATCCTAGTCAATGACAATTCAATTCAGTGCTCATAATATGCAGTGTAAACTTAGTCGTAAATACATATCAAATAACAACTCATAGGATGAATGAAACATATGCTAGTAAATAAGATATGTGAACAAATTTAAGAGACAAAGAACACAAGAAGTTTTTGGTTGAAAAAAACCCACATCTGAGTTAAAAAACCGGGGACTCTCCACTGAGTCCAATCTATTAGTGTAAACAAGGTTCATACAAAGACCACACAAGCTCAATTCCTGGATCCTTATCTACGGAGCAGCTTTACCTTTGTCCAACATTGTCTTACACGAGATGAACTCCTTCGGTCTTCACCAAGTAGCAACTCCTCCTGAGCTCTTCACCTTGTGGCACCGATATCAATTCAAATCACGAAATGATATGATGTCATGATATGCATATAAAATCTGGATTTAACAACTAGTCAATTTCTCTAGTTAAAGGGTTAAAAGAAGAAATGATGAGAATCCAAAACAGGTAAGTTTAAAGATTTGAAACTTGAAACTTGAAGAACTTGACCACAAAAATAAAACAAAACCAAGAAGAACAATGCAACCTTATTCTACAATGAATGGGTGTTTAATGCATGAACATGGTTTTGTGGCTAGGGTTTCTAATGAAGAACACAAGAGGTAACCCAAGGTTTTAAAACACTCTTTGAAAATGTAAAATTTCCTAACTAAAATAAATGAGCAAATACAAAGATTTTAAACAAGAATTTACAAAGAAGGATTTATAAATATTTAAATAAGAATACTACTCAGAGAAGTGCTTGATGCTTCTAGGGAGTTCTGAGATGGAGAGGAAAAACAAACCCCCTCAAAATTATAAACTCTCTCTAAAGAGGAAATGAAATCCTCTAACCCTATTAAAACAAATCCTTTGATTGCTACAAATAAGGTACAAAGAGACACTTGTCAAATGTATAAGCAATCTGAGCAAATCAATCTCATCTAAAAGGTGTCAGACATCCCATATGGGCTATCTTAAATTGCATGCCCAACTAGCTGGACAACAGCGAGAAAAACTGACTAGACAATCGGACTAGACAGAATGCAACACGAATATAAAAATGAAATGCACATGCATGAACAAACCTTTTAAGGTGAAATGTGCCACATCTTGAACATTTGCTCCAGTAACAACAACCTACAATCAAAGTAAAGCCTAAAACTAATTTAGCATGTGTTGTTTAATTACAATATTTGACAAGGAAAACTAAACCTAAAAGTCTTGACTTCACACACAACGCCTTTGGTAAATAAAAGACTTCCGCACGCGCGTATGAGTGTGTAGAAAGGCTAGTTAATCAATAAAAGGCTGTTAATAAAAGTAAATAACAAACGTTTTGATCTTATTTCCTTAGTCATGGACTAATTTCTTTCCAACACTTCCCCTTTAGTGTGAGAGTGGGGATTGAGATCTCCCAATTTACGCAACAAGAGTAAGAAGACATCTTTACCAAGGGGCTTAGAGAAAATGTCGGTCAATTAGGAAGAAGGAACATATTTCAATGACAACTAAACCACCCTGTATTTTGTCTCGAAAGAAATAAAAGTTTATCTCAACATCACATGTTTGTTTTTGAAAGACTAGATTAACAACTATGTGTCGACCGGCTTTGTTGTCACAATAAATTTAGGGGTGTGCTATCCACACACCCCAAATTACTTCCCACACACCCCTTGTTAATTTCTGTCCGTTGATCTTCTTCAATTCATCTGATCCGACGGCCGAAAATTAGAAAGGTGTGTGAGAAGTAAAATGGGGTGTGTGGATATCACACCCCTAAATTTATGT